CAAGTATTGATTGTATTGATCAGAACAGTATAATCCTTATTAGATTAATTAACTTTTCTAAAAATGGCTGAAACAATAATTAGCCTTTGTTAATAATTTTAAAAAGTATTCTTTGACAATTTTATTCATTTCCTATTATTATAAGGAATAACCTATCACTCTGGTATTGTTAAGCTTAATATGAAATATTACAGGCTATAAAAGAAATCAACATTTTGTCTATACCCCATAGGTAGGACCCATAATAATAAAACACCTCATATATTTCACACCAGACAATGGCTATGTTAAACAAAATCATAAATGTAATATCTTACTTTCAGAATCCAGTGCAGTGTAAAAATTTTAATATCCACACTCCGCGCCTCATTTACATTACATTAACATTACAACCCTCCCAGCGTGCTCTGACCAAATAAAAACAACACGATTGTTGTTCTAGTTCCAAACTTTCTTTTGATTGTAGGAAAGAGTATGAGATGGGAAATGCAGTCAGGTTTTTAGTTATTCAAATATTTAGTTTTATAGAGTTAAGAGAGAAATTGTCCATGTAAGTTTAAAAATTTGGCTTTATTTTGCTATAGGTAAGTAAAACCATATTAAGTTCAGAAAGTTCACGTAATAATCGAAAAACATTATGGTAGTGGTGGTACGTTTATATTTCAGAAAAGTCTTATATAATATATAAATATGTTGGAACATTAATACACACATCTAGTTTCGTGGTAAGCGACGAGGCTTGTGTTATGGATACCAGATAGTTGATACACTACACATACAATAACTTTAAATACTTACATTATTATAAATATAAACACCCATGACTGAAATACAAATATTCGTGCTCATCACAGAAATGAATGTCCCCAGCGAGACTCGAACCCACGCCCGCTGGCACAGCAAGTAGTGTCACTACAAACTGAGCCAAACGTCGACAAAATACGCTTATACATAGCATTTTGAGCATTTGCCCCCCTCACACGCAGTCAGGAGACAAAATTAAACCGAATAATTCCATTTAACATATGAAGTCCCAATATTCCCTTAGTTCTAAGCCGCAGACGGCAGATAAATCTAGGATTCAGTACCAGCCTCCGCGTAAGATAGCGTCTAGAACATCCTGACTTACGTACCTTGCTTGGTCTAAAACGTTACTTTGGGATATGGAGAGTCAGTGTTAGAGGACATTTAACTCGTCTGCTACATACAATAAATTTTCAAGAATTACTCAAAGGGGGTTTCAGTCTCGGTAATTTTCTTAAGTTTTGAGTTGAATTTTGATTACTCTACTAAAATTGACATTGTACATATTTGACATATATTGGGGCATTTCTACAGAATGATGAAATAAATAATTTAATATTTTTCAATATTTTTTATATTACTAATGTCTTGGTGCCTTTATGTTTTTAAAACCAACTGGCATAAAAGTTAGTGAGTACATGTAGCAAATGAAATGGAGAAATACCCACAACTTTTTATTCCAACTTATATAATAATTCTGTGAGATACCAAAATGGTCATGGATTTTTAAATTATATTGTTACGTATCTGCGAGATCTGGGATCGTAAATAAAAGTACGTTTTCTGCACTACAGATGGATGTTTTATTACTTCTGGCTTCCAACAGTCACTTATGGTGGTTTAGAAACATACACAGAATATTCACAGTTTTGGCTTAATTCAGTCTTTGAACACTATTTTTCAACACTAGTTATAATTTCACTATGACTTTATCTCTTCTCAGTCTTCTCTGACTCTTGAGAATTTAATTTAAATATTAATTGTTATTTATATGAATTACTAGCGACTGACCCTCGATCCGCTCGGGTTCGTTGTGACGTTTTGAGGTTTAGATATAGGTTTCTCAGAGATAGGATATTTTCCCGCAGTAAAAGTATCCTATATGTTGGACCCGGACAACCAGCTATCGTCCAGCCAAATTTCATCAAAATCAGTTTAGTGATTTTTTTATGATAAGTTAGCAGACAGACAGACAAAACTTTTAAAAACTATAGATCGGCCTTTGTATACATACGATAATAATATAGATCGGCCTCTGTATAAATACGATAATAATGACAAATTCAATAAGATTTTCCAAAAATATTTAATGTACAGATTTAACTCAGAATTTTATTATACGTATATGTATAAATGTATAATATAACAAAACGAGTATATGTATAAATTATTTTCAATGGCTGATTTTCGGTAAAGGGTAAATAAAAGTAGAGAATTTTTACAAATAACTATAATGTTTATTTATATGCAGGTATATAAGGTAACGTTAGGATAGTCGGTAAGGGTGGGTATACACTAGCGAACTTACTACAGATATGTAGGCAAGATAGCATCGGCTCTTGCGATTTATACAATTGGCCTTCTTATAGAACTAATGATTACAATTATACTATTTATATATCATAAATATCTTATAAATATTTTTTCTTTTGTTACTACTTTTAGTGGTTTTTGCATAATGTTCTTAACTGTAGCTAAAAAATCCAATTATGTGATTTTAGTTTGGTTGGTATTTGAAGAAGTAAATCTATTTTTTGGGTCATATTTAAACCATAATATAATGTCTTCATTAGTTAACAAAAAGGCCACTTATCTAAAATTTCACGTAAATGTTACATGCAGCGTGGATATGACTTTGACTTAGAACTTAACATTTAATTTTATAGGACCATAATATCTTATAAGGTAGAAATGATAGCTTGCTTTTAGTTTGTTGATAAATCTTATTTTTAGTTTAAAATTTATGCCAAATAAGTGATTTAGAGAGAAGATTGGGAAATTAATTGTTTGGTCTGCTCTGACTAGATTTTGTTTCAATTTTTTATGTAGATTATAAGCCCTTTGCCATGACTTATTCAATTGAAATGTATCACCGAATTATTTAATTCTTTTTTAATACATTGGTTATGAATATTTAACGATTAGCCTCAAAAGTGGCTTTGAATAATTTTAGGAAAATATGGCATTAAAGGTGAAATATGACTTTTGAAATTATTTTTAAGTCAGCGTGCCTGTTTAGTTGAAAGATAAAGTTACGAAGTTTTATAAAATTAAAAAAAGCTACTATGACTTCCTCCAAATATCCTGAAAACATTAATATTATTTTAAAAAAATATAACTTTTTTGTATTTAGGTAAAAGCGTTCAATTATTTTATACACTACATGTAATTATTATATACAAGATTATAATAATCACGTCTGTGTGTCAACAAGAAAGTTAAGCCAGTTCATTAATAGATAAAAGCGATTCAGATTATCTCTAAAGATTCAAGCTATCATTTCAAATAGATATTTTAATGAAATGTTTGCATCTCTCTATGCACGCTACATGTAATCAAATGATAAACAAACATTGATAGAACTGGGTCATATACTTTATACAATTTTAAATTTGCAATCTCATATACAATTAATATGTAGAAATCCTAAGCAGGAAATATTATGATCGTTAATTAAATTAAGCCAGATTATAGGGCGTTTTTAGCTGCTTTACTTCTCTTGCTCTCTCTCTATCATGTCTTGGCTCTATAGAGATTAGGCATTAATGTACGTAAGTAATAAGTTTAGGAATTTTTTGAAGTTCAAACTGATGGGATGAAAATGGGTCAAATAATAATATTGACGTAAAGATCATTTAAATTATTTTCTATATGACTTAAGTGAAACAATTCATAATGTTAGAAGTAAAATGCAAAACGTTTTAGTTTTTTTTTATTTCTTGTTCTTTCGTCGTCGCCTCAGCCCAAACACGTCTACTTCTAGGCATAGGCTTCCCCCAAAGAATTCCACGACAACAGGTTTTTTGCCATCCGCATCCAGTGGGCTCCAAACACTTTGACCAAGTCGTCGCTCCGCCTTCTTGGAAGTCCACGCTTCGCCTTCTGGTATGTGACCGCCGTTCGTTCATTTTGTACTTTAATGGTCAAAAAATATTTAGATGAATTGAATTTATTAAAACAAATGTTCAACAACGCAAATAAATAATAAAGGTTTAAGGCAAACATTGTTTTTTTAGGAAAATAATATTATCTGCTTAGACCCCATACATCATAGAAACTGTTTGTTCATAAATCTCAAAGGGTTACATTAACAAGGCCAGTAAATATGGTGTAATAAACATCGTATAAAACGCTCTCACTCTACCATCTAACTGCGCAATCGTTGTTTTATACCGAAAATCTTTTTACAATTTTACACAATATGATAATTATATTTTTACAATGTTATAAAAATGATAACAAAATGACTAGAATCAAAACGAATAAAAAAAACTGTTTGTAAAATGCAAAGTCAGTCTTATGCGTCACAAAATAAGTTCCATTGTCCTGTCTTTTATTTTTTGCCATATAAACTCAAATTTTATAAATAAAAATGAAATAAGCTATATAATTATACTCAAATACAACCTTTGTTTAATTTTAAAGAGTTATGGTATGCATAGAGTAGACAAACTGTTGGAAAAAATTAAAAATGCTGAAAAGAGACAGACTGCACGTATAGCATCTGCCACAATAAACTTCAACTAGTTGGTCATTGTTACGTGACCTGCAAGTTATAAAAAAAAGCAATAAATGTTGAAATATCTATTGAATATAAATAAATTTTAACTCTTACTGATACTAATAATAAATAATTTTAAAACAATTAGAAAATTTCAAAGCTGACTTTCTCATACATTTTGAACTGAAAAAAACAGCCTTAAATAATATTTGTCTACTCATTGCATAATAATTTCTATGCAATTATATCATATTATAAATTTTAAATAATGTTTTTTTCACTCATACATAATGCCACACAATTCAATCATTCTATCTCACTATACACTATATTTCTTTATATGTGCGAGCGAGATAAAAATATTAAAGAGAAATACATTAGTAGATACACAGGTAAATTTTATATTTTGTCACCGAATTTCATCTTAAAGTTTTCAAATAAAGTAAATTATTTTCTATAGTACATATTATATTTATGGCAGGTTTGTGTAATTAGCCAGATCCTTCCCATTTTTGTACATGGACGTGATAATTGGATCCAAATTGTGGTACTCCTTGCCTGATCGCGGTCGCAGGGTGCTCGTTGGTTGGCGGCTTATTCTGAAAATAGCAACAAAATATACAAACTAGCATCAATAATATATAATTAATGATTATTATTCAGCCTTCTTAAAATCCCACTGCAAGGCAGGAGCGTACTATCTGGGTATTTCACATGACTTTCAATAACGTATTGAAAAATTTTAAAATTTACATACTAAATGTAATTATAATAACAAAATGAGTTTTGATGATTAATACTGATAATACCTACTGTCATACTATCAGAAATATAATATTGTTGTCTGATTATTCTGCTTAAATAAATTTAGAGTATCACCATTAGCAAAAAATAATCCATGCGAATTAAAAAAAAATCTGTACCTTATTCCACTTGGTGCATCAGATGACGAGTGTGAAGATGTCAAAGATAATGTTTCGATATAGTCAGACATATCAGATGTTCCACTGGATGTGCTGTGGGTATCTAAAACACCTATAAGGAAAGAGTTGAAATTTAAATGATTTGATAGTTTATTTTAACACTATACTAAAATTTCATTATAATAATTTTGAAAATAAATCCCACTATAATATTACGTAAATGATATTTAAAATCTGGAGTAGTTTACCTTTAAACTGTTTCGGTGGTAGTACAGGAACTTCAGCTTCAGCAGATGAAGATTTCGCATGAGCATTCGCTTTATGAATTTGCATTGGTTGATCTCTTAACAAATCAGATGATTTAGATTTTCGTGGTAACGATGAATGTATTGACCCAGATAGATTTCCTCGCAATCTTTTATGTACCATGTATTGATATCTTGATTGGCCTGATGTCAAGGGCATTTCAAATTCCTGAAATTCACCTCCACTATGTTTCAATGAACAAGTTGAAACTCCAGAATCGTTTGAGCTAGATGAATCTCGATTACCACCCTTGCAGGGAACACTGGATGATCTCTTTATAGCAGCGTTATCCATATGTTTATTTCGTAGATGAGGTAGGTCCTTGGATGAACTCTCTTCAGATGTCTTGTTTTCCGAACCTGATGATTTACAACAATCATAGCATTCTCTATCGTTGTCACATGGCGATGTAAGTCTATTTTCTAATGCTAAATTTCTTAGTGTTTCCATAGATGAAGATGTCGCGTGACTTCCTATACTGCTGTCAAATTCCTTTAAATCTTCAAGAAGACGGGCAGAATCTACAGAACTCGATCTTTTTTGCATCGCTTCTTTATTAGACGTTTCAAAGCTTTGAATGCCATTTCCACTTCCATTTAATGTTGGAATACTAAAAGACTTTTCGATATCTGCTCGACATGCTTTTGTCATTGGGTATTTTAAGCTTTGCGACCAGTTTGGATTTGGAGACATCGGTGTATAACCAGTGTTTGTACTAGTTTTGTTAACCAAACTATTTTTCGCGTCTTTTGAAGGTTCCATTAGTAAATATTCATCCATTTTAGTTCTTATATCATGTATAGTCGATGATTTATAGTTACCACATTTTAAACAAGCTTTAGGTTTTAAAGGTAAAGGTAAAGTTGTAGATGCTAAATTTATGTTGGCACTAAGAGCATCTAACTCACTTTGAGTAACGCCCGCTTTCTTCAGTAGATCTTTTGCATTTTCATAATACTCTAAAGATAAAGCAAATTCAAGGTTCTCGTAATTAGCGTAAGGACCTTCAAAATCTTTGATTTCTTTTGGTTCTAAATTTTGATAATTAGTAAATATTGTGTCATTTGGATCGTTTGGATTTTTATCTTGGTCTGTGACTGTACTTTGTCTGTTTGTCTTTCTGGAAACATCTACTGTTGCATAAATAGCCATGTCATCAGTTTTGTTACTAAGAACTTCTGTACTAATTCTTTCACAGCTTGTGTTTCTTTTACAATATGGTAGGCTTATTAGATTATTTGCCCAATTTGTAACCTTTTGACATGGACAATCAACTGGTTGTAAGCTTTCGTTGCATTCTACAATTACTGGTTTCTTTTTTGACCCAAATTTTAATATACAACCGCATCTTTTCTTTAACACTAAAGATTCTGGTGTAGAAGAATTCGTAACTTGAAACAGATCATCAGCTAAAGCTGCCTTTATTCTTTTTGGTGTATCGTAGTACTCCGCGTTCTCCAACTGTAACCAAATAAAAAAAATAAAGTAATGAAAAATTAAGATAAAGTTGAAAAGTAAGGATTAGACACGGTAAAAATGTACTTATACTTACCTCATTATAATTTGCCTTTGGAACGTCATAATTTTCATATGGACCCACTTTAGAATTGTTACTAGGACATACATTTTCATTTATATTGCAATTACACCCCTGACATGGCAAAAGTGCAGGTGGTTTCTTTTGGTCTAAATGAGCTGGTTTTGGGGGTCTTAAAGGAGGTTTATCTTTACAGAGACACTCTTCTTTTTTCGTCATTTGCTTTGGTGCATGGTATTCGGTGCTGTTAGAAGAATTATCAGAACAACTTTCTGGAACTGCTTCCATTGTCCACGCTGGGTTGAAATTACTTCCGGTAGTCAAAGCTACTGTGGAGGATCGAGACATTCCGCCAAGTTTTGTTAAGCAATTATTGCAACGCTCTAATGTGACATGGTCAGCTCCACTCCATGGAGGCTTAGCTCCCATTTCAGTCAATGGTCTATACTCATTTTCGTCCAACTCTCGTCTTTCTGCTGATGGCCAAAAAGGTGAAACCTCTCCACAATCTTCCCCAAAATAATTTTCTTCGTATAACGCACTAGCAGTGTCAGGTATAGACTGGTCACCTGAATTGAAGTCGGATAAACGAGTATTTGGTCGAGATTTAAATCTGCGCTCGGTTCCTGAAAAATTCATATAATAATTTGCTTCATATAATAAAGCCGATAATATAACATTATGTTATGCTAAAAGTTACAGATTTGATTAAAAACTTATATTAAAAAATCTATTTAGTGGAAGTCTAATTAATTTATAATGAATAAAAATTTTGCTGGAATATAGATTGTATCTGATAAAAAGCAATACATGAGGTAAACATTTTCATATATGTATACCATACATAAAAGTCTACTGATTTAAGCTTTAGAGGCTTGGTCATTATTATTTGGAGCGAAAATACTCTCGATATTCATCACGTGAATATGACCTCGACGATTTAAAATTATAAATACTCATTCATGTATTCAAAGAAATTCGTTCAGATATAAATCTGTATTTTTAATTTTAATATATATAATACGCACCGTTACTTCTCGGTGTTCTGGGCTGGAAATTTCCTTGAGCAGCTTGGTCGAAAGCATCTGTAATATCTTGGGCTTGATCTGTTATAAGCATATGCAGTCCTTCGCCCTTCCCACAGTGCGAACCACCCTCGAAGCAAAATCTGCCCTCCACCACGCCGTAACGCCTTTGGAATAACAATAAATTTTGAATTATTAAATAATTAAGCAAGACAATTATGAAAGTACCGTGTAATATTTGATCGAGAAATTAAATTGTTTTGATACTTTAATGTAATAGAGAAAAAGTCTACGAGAAAGCAGTGGAAAATAGCAATTTTTACATATTTTACCACCAATTTTTGCATTGCAAAAAATATTTCACCACATAATATTTTTATTGATAAATTTAACAGGGTTTATCATGATTAATTTTTATATTTTATTTTTGCCCGACGTTTCGACCTGTGGTTATGAGCAGAGCCGGCTCGCGTCATGGTAAAATATCAATGAATTGTGAAAATCATAAATTATTTACTCATGACTTTTAATGGAAAACCTCTTAATGGATTTAATTGCAGTACATTTTTAATTCTACATAAATACACTAAAAAACTTGAATAAATTTCAATAAACAAGGAAAATACTAAAGTTTATTTTTTTCTTTCCAGACATTTTCCAAATAAATCTATTTCCTTTTACTAAGTGCTCTAACTAAGAGAGACCAAAATAACATTTTAAATAGAACTAACTCAGTAAACTTTATTACGAAACGACTGCCTCGTTGCAGCAGAATTGCAGTTGCATAAAGCAGATGCAAAGTTGTGGTTGATAACTCATATATTGTCTCTTAGTTCTAATAGGCTGCGGTAGTGTACAAGCGCTGTACGTCTCCATTTAATTTGTTCAGTTATTACATTTTAGATATTATTTTTAATTTCTATTTTACAGAAGAGGCAGAACTGGTTTTATACTATAAAGTTTTCTGACTATTACGTACTTTACTATTATATATTTTCTATGTAACTTTCTTTATATGTAATTGGAAACACTTCTAAGAGCTGTACCGTCGCGAATTCCTAACCCTTTTCAATAAAGAGGCTATAAAATTCATTTTTCATATTGTTCTGACAGTTCCAGATATTAGAGAATTCGAAACACAAATTCTTCAGCTTGATTCGATACGAGTAGTATAGTATTATACATGAAGGAATTAAATTCGTTCATGGTATTATAATATAATTGCATATTATAAACTAGCGACTCACCTTCGATCAGCTCGGGTTCGTACCTAGTTACGTTTTAATGTTTAGTATAGATTTCTCAGAGATAAGATATTTACCCGCTGTAAAAATCTATCTATAATATCCTATGTCTAAAATCTTGTATCATGTAATCTATCTATAATATCCTATATTAACCTGGATAACCACCTATCATCATACCAAATTTCATCAAAATCTGTCCAGTAGTTTTCTCATGATGCGTTCCCTGACAGACAGACAGACAAAAAATCTAAAAACTATACATTTGGCCTCTGTATCGATAATAATTACTATTTCAATAAGATTTTCTAAAAAATATTTAATGTACAGATTCGTCTCGGTTAGAATTTTATTAAAGTATTTTATTTAGTATAGATTACATTTCAAATTCTTTTTCTTTATAAATTTTCTTTTATTAATGTACCGAATATTTTGCTTTTTCTCCAGTTAAATATTTTATAGACTAGCTTTATATAAACATTATTTTCAAATACAGGCAACGATTTGGCCAGCGCAGGCCGGTAAAACGGTTATTTAGCGCATTTTACTCTGACTTGATTTGCAAAATATATTAAGACTAAAAAATGAAAATTTTGTTAAAATAAAATATAGCTTATATCAGTCAGGCATAAAGTAAAAGATAGCTTTCTATCAGTAAAAGAATTTTAGGAATCGGTTCAGTAGTTCCAAAAATTGACTCCTACATACAAAGTTTACCACTTTATTATAAATATATACATTAAAAAATACTATCATCAATCTGAGTCTTGGAACCAAAGACTAATATTAAAAACTACTTCCTGCAGACATGACAAAGTAAGGAGGAAGCATATTATTCGTGAAATTCTGGTATCGGGAGTAACCCACATTACTGGATCATTTTTCACGCGCCTAACAAACCGTGACGTCGTAATTTTAAAAATATTTGCATCAGAAGTTGGCGAGTCATATGAACCAGCATAAGGCACTTACTAACAAAGTGAAGTCAGATTATTTGTCAGTGTGGTTGTAGATTGATTACTGTTTAAAACAAAATTTCTTGAGCTTTTATTATAAAGTTATATAGCTTAAAACAGATATTGTTTTTAAAAATGTCGACTAAATTAATGTAAGCATTATGAGTAGGTATTATTAAAATTCACTAAGAAGAATGAAGCTTTTTTTTTAAGTATATTTATTATTGCTATGTGTCTACTTTTCCAATACACGAAACACAAACACAAAAAATGACATTGAATGTTTATGCAACAAATAGTTGTAAGCCAAAGCCAAACTTGGTATCTCGTCAATAGTTGCTCGACAAGTCACAGGAAACAGTATAAGTTGTCGACAAAATGTCGGCGCGGCACATAAAATGGCTGCCGCGGCGGAAGTTAATGCCATTAACTCTGTGGCCAGACTGCATAAACCATATGAACGTTTATGATCCAACCGTGAAATGATCGAGTTTTATTGAGTATGTATGTTCTGTGACTGTGAGCCAAGGATTTTATGGCTGGTTTTATTTATTTGCCAATTCCAACTTAAAGTTTATATGGACTAGATCCATATATGCTATTTTATAGTTTTTATTCTAAAGTTTGACACATAATCACTATATAAACAAATATATATTTAAAAGTACAACATAACTTTTAAGCTTAAATTCGATTCAAAAATTTCGAAAATTATAAAAACATCTACAAATTCGCCTTATTTGCTCAAAAAATAGAAAAACAACCATTTTAACAATTAAAATAAACACTCACCTTAAATGAGCTAGCTCCCATAATCCAAGGACTCGAGGAGGAACTCCACTCGTGAGGGCAAATCGTCTACCTTGGATGTGGAGCCTTGCAGGACCAGCAGGCAGTTTCTTGGACCCTCCACCACCGATCATCACTAAGAATTCCTTCGAAGATCCGAGCTGCCCACCAACTTTCACTTGCCACGCTATCAGTCGTTCTCTAGTTTCGAACGCAAGTACTACAGTTACGTCTTGGCATATTATCGCAATGGTGTTTGATTCTTTGTCAAGGGTAAACCCTGATTCGAAGCCGAGAAAGTGTTGAAGTGATAGTGAGGCCTTGGTCTGACCTTTTTTATAACGGTCTTTCGGATCCCGATATAATTGCAGGTGAAGGCAATCTGAAACAACAAAGATTATACATTAATCTATTTTCCACTGGTCTTAATACATTTTAATACAACTTGATTAGCAATTATAAGGCTCTGATTTCATTTTAATGAGATCGCGGCAAATATTTACGTATATACGCTATGTGTATTTATTTACTCCAATACAAGTTGCATAAATTCATATTCATTTGTATGCTGAAAATTAATTTCAAAACCTATAAATCCTCTGCCATTAAAGTCCACAATATTCATACGTATACAATAAAATTATATTTCCACTGTATTTAAACTTGCTTTTAAAATTATTTCAATAAAATAAGATAACGCCAATGGATTAAATAGTTCGTTAATTCCCACTAGTCTAAAAATGCACCGCTAGCTTCTTTTTTGAAGCAAAATCCCTAGATTCTGTGATGAACATAAAAGATATTTAAGCTTGTTGTCCAACAAATGTTAATTAAAAAACTATAATATGATAATAATCACCGGACTTTACATGGTTTTTTTAGTACTAACTACGTGTTCTCAGACGGGTAGATGTGGTAATATTGTTGAAATTATTTTACTAGAATCGTGCGATAACCGGAATTTGAACCTACTTCATTGTGATTTCCATACAAGGGAGATGTCCATGGGCTAAAATTATTTACATACATAGTTGCATACTCTATAAGTGTTACTATTATTTCAAATAATATTATCCATTTCATTTAATCATAATAACATTAACAATTAATAAATTACATTAACACAAATTCTAAATAAATTAAATACTCCTTACTAAATATCTAGTGTTGTTGGAAAGAAAATTTCTCATTAGCTCTACATTTTGGTGGAAGTAAGACGCGACCTAATTACCGAAGGCGGTCAGAACAGTTCAATTAGCAAGGGTTTCTTTGAATTCGACCGAATTATTGCTTAATGCTTAGCGAGCCACGGTATTTAATTCTGTTTGAGATTTTAGCTCTACGGTTTGAGCAAGAATGAGTTCAGTAGGTTGCTTGATTTTTACGCAATACCCATAAGTATTTGAATGTATGACTATTATTTAAATAATATAGAACTATTTTCTATAACTAACATAAAAAATATTGTTTTTAAGATTCCTTATTTCAAAAGAAAAAAAGGAACCGTTCGTTGTCCTTCCGTCGGTCTTTCTATCTGTCTGTCTATCTGTGCTTTTTTTCATAAGAAAGCTAAAAAAATTAAAAAAATATAGTTTTATCTAACATGAAAATTAATTAATTAACATACTCTAATAAAAACAAAGTAGCCCAAAACGTAATATAAAGGTTAAATAGAAGTGGTTTGATTTTGTGAGAACGTAAAATAATTTGTATACCGCACTAGACCTCGTAAACTGGGCAAAAACACGGGACAGCCTTCACCCGCTTTTTGGCAATATCCGTAAATCTAACCGTTATATTGATAGCCGTTACTCAAATGGTTTTTGTTAACTCATTGTGATGATTGGCGTTTTTATTGAGACGGATATGGATTTTTATTTAAATGATAGCAATGGTTTATTACATTTAGGTTTTATGCTCGGTGGTTAAAGGGAGATGTTTGAAAATATTTTTTTTGTATTTATCCTAACTAGGGTAGACCTACGTTTCCTTGTAGGTCTACCCTAGGCAGGGAGCTATCGATATAGTATTTTCCCATTTTATTATCTAGGTACTTTTACTATTAGTAAAATACATGTTATGTAACCAACAATAAGTAAATCCCTCATTATTATCGATACAGAGGCTGAGCAGATTTTGATGAAATTTGGTATGATGATAGCTGTATATCCGAGTCAACACATAGGATACTTTTTACTGCGACAAAATATCTCGCCTCTGAGAAATCTACACAAACTATTAAAACGTATTTAGACAAACCCGAATGGAGCGAGGGTGAGTCGGTAGTATTAATTAAAGCTATATTTGACGGACTGTTTGGCTCAGTTTGTAGTGACCCTTCTTGCTGTGCCAGCGGTCGCGGGTTCGAGCCCCGCTGGGGGCATTCATTTGTGTGACGAGCACGAATGTTTGTACTCCAGTCATGGGTGTTTATATTTATAATATGTATGTATTTAAAAGTTATATATGTGTAAAGTGTCAACTATCTGGTATCCATAACACAAGCCTCATAGCTTACCATGGAACTAGATGGTGCTGTGTGTAAATATCCCAACATATATATTATTTTTATTATATTTTCATAGTATTGTATAGTTGGATAAACTTAAACAAACTGACATAACTTATATTCCCCCTAAAACCAGTAAGAAACAAATCTATAGTCAAAGCAAAACTGTAACCAATTAAAATAGGAAATAGAAGATGCATATAAAATAAAAAGGAAGTGAAACAACAGATACTCGTAGGGTCTTTCAGCTTATTAATTAGAGCGACTCTCTCGTTCATAATTGCTTGAAAGTTCTGCTAATTACTTTTAAAAATGAGAACGGCAATTTTATCTACATTTTTACTCCACTCTAATTTTGTTCGCATTAACTTATTACAGGATTCAGATTTTAGACTCGTTACTTCGTTTTGAAGGATGTGCTTTAGTGAATATTTTTGTATTTCGATTAAAAGTGAAGTTGTTCAAATTTTTTAAGTTTTACTTATAATTTGAATTCAAAGTATTACACTTTACCTCTATTTTGAATAAAACTATCTTTTCGGATTATTTCGCGGATTTATTTTGATTTTTGGTTCCCGGCGTTTCGAATGCTTTACAACAATCATGGTCACGGGAGAGACTGAGGTGTTAGATGTCTCGAAGGTATAGTTCTTACAGACAGCCTACCCACAATTAACAAAATGAAAATTGCACCAATTACCTTACAATATTTTATAACTTTAAACATTTTTATAATTTTAATTAGTTTTATAATTGAATATGGAATATTATTTAATTTTTGCTGTTAGCATTATAATTATTACAATTTTAAAAATATTAATTAGTAATCTATATTTAGTGTTGCCATTATTATATTTATAAGTTATAACCATAAAGAAAATTATAAAATATAATATTAATTATTTAAGCCACATAAAATATGTTCTATGTATAATTTAAAAAGTTAAAATTAATTAAGAATAATAATTTTAATTTAATTTGTTATTATTTAAAAAAGACAATTTACTAAGCAACACTATTACTATATACTTTTACAAATGAAAAATATTAATCTGAAATGCTGTCATTTTGATCCACACAGTAAGAATTTATTACGTCTACAAGTCTGTTATGTTTAGATTTATTAATTTCTCGATTTATTCTTACTGTGTGGATCAAAATGATAGGATTTCAGATTAATATTTTTATTTAATTTTCGAAGCAAGTGCCTTACCACTAGGCTTCCAAAGATGACAATATAAAAAACAAATACTTTTCATATACATATAAGTATATATTAACTTTTTACATATTTTAATACTTTATCAATTTTTTTATTAACTTATTAATTAAATAGTGTGTAATAGTGAGTAGTGATATAGAGTATACAGTATATGATAGTTTATCTTGCTACAGATGGCATGATCATCAGCTCAAATTTAGGACATCATGATTTGTAGCCGTAAATAATTGATACTAAAACATTGACAGATATAAACGTAGTAAACGGTTAAAACGCTATATTATTTCAAAATATTTGATGAGCCCAGTATTTCAGTAAACTTTTAGACTTTTTATTGTATCACAAACTTTATCTGTTTGATTTAAAAAGTATAAGGAGATCTGGTAGATTTCGGCTATACGTGCGCATTATAATGCACAATACGAGTATGTCCCTCTTCTGGCACTATCAAATTTTGGTGGGACGACATTTGGTTTTACATACACTCCGTACACGCATAAAAAATATATTAACAAGAATTTCTTGACAGAAAAATCCAACACCTCTACTTGGCCCGATCCAAGACTCGAACCTCCGGATCTGCAGCCGTACTGCAGCCACTAGACCAACAAGACAGTCTATTGTGTATTAAAAAGTGCACACAATATAATGTAGGTCATAAAAATATTTTATATAACATATAAATAATAGTTTGATTAGAAAAAATCAAAAAACAACACTCATTGTACAACACTCGTACAATTGTCAGTGAGGTTGCCCCGCATTAAGAGCGCAACAACCTTTTGTTTTGTTAAGCTTTGGAGAGTCCTTCAATCATTTCGTGCGCGATATTTCCTCATTGTCATTGTGTATTGGATATTGATACGGAAAATACTCGTACAAACGTGAACTCGATACGTTTGATTTTTAATGATTTAAAATTATAACGTGGGTATTGTTTGGAACTATTAAATTGCTAGCGAATGAAATTAAAATTATAATTTTTTCATTATTATTCATTTGAACAAAGAGATATTACGAATAATTTATATATATATATATATATATATATATATACATACATACATACGGTATGATGGGTTGTTGTGGGTTTAAAAGTAATACGGAAAAAAAAACAAAAAAAAATAGTTGGCAAAGGTGGAATAAATAAAAAAATATATACAAGAAATTAAAATCTTTACTATTGTAATATACATATGCATTTGTTACTTGAAAATGAAATAACAGATTCTAAACACCAACATGAACAACTCCACTCCCAATACTGCCAAATCCAAACTTATTTCCATTAGACCCCCTGTTTTTCCTCCGAGACCGCCCGATGAGCTTTGCAAAACTTCGCGAATACATTAGCTTTCGCGACAAAACTGACAAATTTGAATCGACATGCCTACACTTTGTAACTGCTAACTTTCCCAGAGCCGTAATAAATACGTTTTCCATTACGTTTTTCCTCAAAAATCAATTTGTAAGTTAATTGAAGTGGGTTAATGGGTTGTGCTTAAGAAATTTCGGACGTAGCTCAGGTAGAAAGTTGGTCGTTGATTGCAAAAGGTAGCTCTTTGAAACAGAACTCTGAAAGGGTTGGCCTGTAATTTTAGTGGAGTCAAATTAGGAGCTAAAGAAGCTTTGTATGGGTTGTTGTTGAAATATTTTTCGAATGCAAAAATCTCAAACGTAAATACCCTTTGCGAAATAAAGATTGATGACATTTGCGTCCCTGCCAAGAATGTAGAAAAAGTCGAATCATTAGGAATGTGGTGCAAAAATTGATATAGATCGTTTTTGATATTGTATTAAGATAAATAACCATTAATGCTTTTTGGTATTTTTATGGAAAATTGAATTACTTCTTAACAGTGCATTATAACAATTTCTTGAAACCGTAACATACTATGCCTTATTATTTTGGTATTATTAAAGTTTAGTATACATTTCTCAGAGATGTGATATTTTCCCGCAGTAAAAAGTCTTATATGTTGGCCCGGGTAACCAGCTTTCATCAAAATTTGACTAATGTTTTTCTCGTAATGCGTTCCCATACTGGCAGGCTAAAATTCTAAAACTATAGATTCGGCCTCTGTATCGATAATAAAGTCTATTACAATAAGATTTTCAACAATATATTCAATGTAAAGATTTAACTCAGAATTTTATTATATGTATAGATAAAACGTTTTAGTTTCAAGTCAATCAAAGGGATGCTCCTACTAATATTTTGCTATTTACGTATAATTTATTGACAGAGAGTGTAACCCACCTTGCAGTTCCATTATAGAGTCACAACGTATTATTTCCGCTGTATTTCTCACAGACAAAAATATTTAAATATTAGAAGCGACTGTCACTTGAAACAAGAGATCGTAATAACGCAAGAAATGTACAAGGAAATGAAAAAAGACACATTATTTGTTACGAAAATGTTAACAATGACCTAAATTATTGAGATGTTGAGATGTTCGGGGCGTGTCGCGATCCGTCTTCTGTCCTCGCGACAACGCCTTGCACTTTGTTCTTTCCCTGTTAAGAAATGCTTGGGGATATTTCATTTATTTTTGAACGATTGAGGGTCTTCAAAATTTAAGTCTGTTTTGTAAATATTGATATAAATAAGGTAAATGTTGAAACAAATTTTCAAGATGTTTATTTATTAATATCTAAGTATTTTATTGATTTCTCTTAATTAGTTTTTTCCAATTACATTTTTAAACAAACAAAATGAATGATATCGTATTATAATGATTTTTGCTTGGAATTTATGTATCTAAAAACAGAATCTTATAGATTTTGTATGATCATAACAAAGCATAATTAACAAAAAAATTGAACCTGAGACCTTTAAAACCCATCGTCTACAGAATATAAACCAACACCAGATGGTATAAAATAAATTTGAACGATTCGAAAACACATCGAAACGAAATGATCGCAGGAAAATTGGAAATGTAACGATAATAGCAAGTATTAAATCACGCATAATTAAAAGCCCCCATATTTCCATCAAGGCTAAATGATTACCATTTAGCGATGTGAATGAATGCGTCGAACAGATCGCCGCGATGATTAGTGCAGTGTTTGCCTTCACTCGCCGGAGCCCGCGATGCGTGAAATACTTGTTGTTCATTTTGTACACACTTTTATTTTTTAAGTGTCTGTTTATATTTCTGTTTTAATAGGTTATTTTAAATCCTTGCTATTTTTTGCCTTCACTAGTCGAGATTTATTCCGACTGAAAACGTTTGATAGTAAAACACCAATTACGAAATTAACTTAATTTTTAAATAAAACTATTTTTTCGGATTTTAAAGCGGATCTATTTTGATGTTGGGTTCCCGACGTTTTGAATGTTTTATAGCGCACATAATCACGGAACAGATTATGGTTTTAGATGTCTCAAAGGCATTATGTAGTTGTTACAAACAGCCTATCCACAAAATAACAAAATGAATTCAAAAAATATAAAAATGGCACCAAAGTACTTTACAATATTTGTAATTTTAATATTAAACAGTTGTATAATTATTTTAATAAGCTTTTTAATAAATCTGTTCTCATTTTTAAAAATCGGATAATATAGTTTTATTTAAAAAGGTCAAATATTCGCATAAAACTAAGAAATTAAATTACAAACCTTACATTTTTTTAAGCTAATTTCAAAAAAGAAGGTGTAGTCTGTGTGTACGTTACGTGATTATCCTCGTAAATTTTAATATTATTGTCATGATTATATTTGAAATGTTCTTTTTTTTGGTTATAGTTCAAGTATTCACACTTTTGTATAAATAAAAACAAAAACCAAGGGTGAAATATTTATTGATTTTCAATGTGGTACACGTTTTTAATCTATACATATAATAAAATTCTAACCGAGCCTTTGCATTAAATATTTTTTGAAAGGTCTTATTGAAATAGTCCTTATTATCAATACAGGCCGAATTTATAGTATTTAAAATTTTTGTCTGTCTATCTGAAATCTGGTATGATGATAGCTGGTTATCCGGGTCAACATATAAGATAATTTTACTGCGGAAAATATCTCATCTCTGAAAAATCTATACTAAAAGTTAAAACTTAACTAGTGACGAACCCGAACGGAGCGAGGGTGAGTCGCTAGTTATAAATAAATTTCTATTGAATAAGTTGTACCTCGAGGTCCTATTTAAACTTCAAACACTAAATTCTACCACAAAGGACTGAACAATAACGTTTAACTTCACTAAAGCAAATATTATTTCACAATTCATTAGAATAAGAAACAGCTAACAAAAGGGGGTTTTGTGTTATATCGATTAGTAGTGCAATGAGATTGCGATCTTCATCTGAACCCGGAGGCTGGGTGAATGCCAAACTGAGATAATGACGACACGCTATTTTCTGCATATAGGGAAGATTTACTTTAGGATGCGCCCGTCGAGTGTGATTGAATATACTTGTGAAGGAAATTACATTTTCTATAACTAGAAATTATTTTAGTCTCAAGATAATATGATAAATACTGTTAACTAAGTTTGTTAAAGATTTTTTTTGTAATAAGCAAAGACCTATATAATATATATAAGTATCTTACTGATATTATAAATGTGAAAGTGGATGTTTGGATGTTTGTTACTCAATCGCGCCAGAACTGCTGAACTTATCTGGATGAAATTTGGCACAGAGATAGATTATAGTCTGGAATAACACATAGGCTACTTTTATCCCGAAAAAATGTACGGTTCTCGTGGGGTAGATTTGTTTCTGTTTTTCCACCGTTAATTATCCATATATTAATAGATAGTTCTTAACATACACACTATGAGACTATTCTAAACATTGTTTTTAATGAATTAAATATAAATTTAAAATAAAATTCTACCATACAAGACATTTTGAAGTCGTACACCGGCTTCTGTTTTAATTAAAAGAAACGATTTATTTAACTTAAAAAATGTCTGTTTTTTCAGTTTACCTAAGCCTCGTATATTAATTAACAAAAATAGCACAATATATACGCAAATTCATTAATTAATGCTAGTTTAGAAATTGTACAACTAATATTATAGATACCGTATCTACTGTAAGATAATCCATGTACTGGTTAAACCATACAAGCGATACGCGCCTGATGTAATCGAATCATTGTAATTTTCGATATTATTTGCCTAAGATATCGCGATCACCGAGCCTCGTGACGAATTAATCCTCTTAGCAATAATAGAGTTTGGAGATAATAGCTGATTGGTGGATAAAACGTAATTTATTTAAACGTATATTATATATCTATATTATCTTTATTTACAAAAGTTAGTACACATGTAGTTATGTAGATATATAGATAATCATATAGTTATATAGAAAAGTAAAAATATTTACAAATACACATACAGAAAGTAGTTGTGGTCAAAAGAAAGAAAAATCTTAACGAAAGTAGTTAGTTAATAAAGGCTATTTTTATTTTATTTATTTTATTATATACCTATATCAGACTAAATAATTATACAGATGAAGTCCGCCAAAAAATGTCACTGAAAAATAGTAGCGTGATTTGCTTTTCATGCTACAGTTCTCGATTTTTCCATACAAATTGTTTATTTTCTTTAAAAAATTGGTGAAATTTTATATTATATGTATTAGTTGTTAATTTAGAGTTTTTGAGAATTAAATATGTATAATAATGAATAATAAAAAATAAAAATAAAATATAGAATATATCTTTATTGACACAATTCTTTGTTTTTACATAAACCTGTTGAATCCTCTATCTCCCAAAGTAGAATAAACCTGTATGTCAGGAGTCAGCGCCCTCTTCCATCTTTAATCCTAATTGGAGATCAATAATATTACAGAGCATGTTTAAGAATGAATAAAATATATGGCTATAACTAGATGCCATGGCTTTACGTGCTTAGAAGCACGGGGATGTAACGAAATTAAATTTCAAACTCCAGGCTGTTACTGAAAATTTCTTAATAAGAACTTTTTGATCTGTGGCCGTACCTGCTAGACCCTAGACCAAGAACGCTATACTTACATTAAATATTGGGTTCGTATATATTATCTATTTTAAAAAACGTCAAAATAAAAATATTAATATAAAAAGTTGACCTCGTTACAATTTCATTTTACCCCACACAGTACGTCTGTTGATGCACTTCACTGCCATATCCTGTTCTGGGCCAATTAACCAAAAAAAATCAATCTCGATATCGGAAATGCGATGAGTTAATTTGACACTATTGTCTTCCATGACGACTGCTGCATTGTTCACTTAATAATAAAATTCTGATACATTTCGTTCGTATGTAGATTACATTGAACACAATCGATGCTCTCTTTTTAGTCCTGAACAAAAAGGTGAAAGTATAAATGAATAACGACATAACTATTGTATTGTTAGTTCTGAATAGCAAAGTTTTTTTTAAATCTATTATTTTGTAGCTGAATTGTTGCTACCTACTATTTTTATTAAATATACTAGTGCAGTTTAAAAAGGTAAATTCGAATTTTGCGTAATTCTTAAGAATCTTCTATCTTCGTTCTGGAGCCCTAAAAATTCCTGGAACTTATTCCAGAAATATTTAGGGCTCCAAAGCGACATATCCCATATGTAATCGGTAGCCCTACAAACTCCTGTATCTTTCAGTAAAAGTACCATTACAATCGATTAAGCTGTTTCAAAGGTTACACCGGATATACAGATAGACAGAATAAAAAAAAGTTTATTTAGTACTGGTAACATAAATATGTTGGGACATTAACACACAACACCATCTAGTTCCACGGTAAGCTACGAGGTCTGTGTTCACAAATATAACTTTAAATACATACATATTATAAACAGAAGCACCCATGACTGGAGTACAAACATTCGCGCTCATCACACAAATGAATGCCCCCAGCGGAACTCGAACCCGCGACCGCTGGCACAGCAAGTAGGGCCACTACAAACTGAGCCAAACGTGTCGTCAAATATCTCAATCTACATGAGAAAACAGATATTTTGAAATTATTAACAGACACTCCAATGTTATTTATTTGTATATTAATTCCTGTAATACGGACGCATGTGATGATAATTTGAGACATACTGTATATTATATAGCATGTTTGGATCCCTTATTTAATTACAAAGAAACTTAGTAGAATTTTTGACAGATTTCAAAAAGATTAGAAAATATGTTAAAACTTTGAGGTTTAAATTTATATGGGGCCACTCAAATAAATTACCAGAAAATCAAGGATGGAATAATATATACATAGTTTGTTAACGCTTTTGAAGATGGTGCCTTTGTAATTAAAAAAGTAATTAGAGGCAATTACTTAGCTATCAAACAAAGGATTTTTTATACTATGTGATTTTTTATAAAGTTATAATTTTATGTGTTACTGAAAAAAAGTTGGCAGCAATAAGTCTTTATAAAAATGTATTTCACTTTAAATAATAACATTTAAATTAAACTCATCTTGACTATTAAATATACTAATCAACTAAAACACCGGACGCTATCGATGCTCCAAACAAAATGATTTAATTAAGAGTACAAATTGGACTAATGCTAAACGTTTTCAA